CTCAGAAACAGCTTCCCATTGAGCTTATACAGAACTTTTTTCCACTACAACAAGAAGTCAGTGGTGGGGGTAAATAGCAACTCTTGCCACCATGGTGCCAGGTGCTACCCTTTACTGGTAGTATGCAAGGGAATGATGCAACCTGAAAGCTAAGAGAACAAGAACATACACGTCTTCTGTTCAATAAAGGAGTATCTTACTGCACAACCAGTATAGCCGCAGGTAGTCCCTAATTCACAAAATGATGTGTTTCAGAAAACTCAACACATAGTATACATGTGCTAGTAAGTAGGTTTATTTGGGGCCTACACTGGATTTCTCCCAAACAAAAGAACACAGAGCAACTTATTAAAAAGGTTACTTAATCTATAATAATACTAGCTAACAATAGTTAACATTTAGTAATCTCTTACTCTCTACTCTCTACAAAGCACAACTATTACTATTATCTATTATATCACCCCTACTTCCAGAGCTGAGACTGAGGCTCAGAGGTTGGGCAACTCAAGGTCAGAAAGCTGCTAAGTGCAGAGCCAGGATTTAAACCTGGTAGGCTCTTTGCCATTCTGCTCGACTTACTGCTGGAATAACGCGGGTGAAAAGGACAGACAACACTGGCCCGAAGCTCGATTTCCTACGGAAGGGAAACTGGCTGTGTGGGAAGGAGGAGGCAAAAGAGGAAGCAGTTTTTCTCTCCTACCCTTAGGTGTACAGTAAGCATTCAACAAATACGTGAAAAAGGCATCACCCCTTCTGTGCCCCTTCCTCTCTGCCAGGCAACCTCTGGCCTCAGTGGACCTGGATGACCTCTGTTAGAGCCCTGCCCCCAGCAGCTCAACCACCCCAATCACCAAGATCCTCCTCTCACCACCAAGACCTACCCCATATAAAAAGCCCTATTCCTAGTCCTATGGAAATAACCAGGCCATTCACTCACTCAACTAATATTTATTATACTACATACCTACTATATGCAGTGGTAATTCCTGGCAATGCAGCAATAAACAAGGGACCTCGTTTCTATCCTAAGCAAGAATACCAAGATATATAAAAGAATGTCCATTTATGTGTTGTTTAGAAGAAAGAAGGGAAACCTGGATGTTCAATGAAAGACTACTGACCACTGAAATTATGATACATGCATCTTATTGAATACAATGCACTCACTGAAATGATTACACTGATTATACAGAAAAACTTACTGCCATGGAAAGATGTCCACACTCTATTAACTGAAAATAGTTAATAAGACAACAGTATAGAGTATGATAGCATTTGGAGTAAAAACATAAGACATAGATCAGCAATAACAACAACAAAAAACATCTAGAAGGATAAATACCAATATCTCAACAGCAGTTAACAGAGTTGTAGGATTATGAATGACTATGCTTTTCTGTATTTTCTGAACTCATTGCAACAAGCACATATCTTATAATTAGAAAAACATTACAAGTTTCTATTTTGGAAGAAAACAAAACAACATTCCTGTTCTACTCCGTAGGTGGTAAGCACTCAAATATTTGTTAAATGAATCAGCCAACGAGTAAATGAAATCTACTTGAGCTACGTGATCAGTAGAAAACAGCCAGAGTGAACTATCACTGTAATTGAGGCACAGAACTAGAACATTCCTAATGTACTGTACCTTTAAAATGGTTACGGTAAATTTTCTGTTTTTTACTACAATAAAAAAAATGAAAATTCCTTAACTCCTGTAATATTTTTTACAGTTTAATTGATATAAATTAACTCCCACTTGGTATAATGTGAAGCAAATAAAAATGAAATGAGAAAAATTAAACAGCTACCAAAAAGTTCAAGGAGTGGAACAGAGAGCTGCCTACATATTCGCCCTGCCCCGGAATTCTCCCTTGTATTTCCTTCATCTCAGTTTCTTAAGTTTTTCTCTCCTGAGTTCAGAGAATCCCTTAAAGCTCCAAGGTTTTCACAACCGTTCCCATAACCACGGCAACAGGACCCTGGGGGTTTGTCAGAAAGGAGTTTCCGACAGGTGGTTTCTCATACGGGTTTCAATATACTACGAACATGCGAGTTTCCATCAAAAGCATCTCCAAGAAAAGCACCGTCGAGGGTCAGCGTCCTTCCTTAAATGGCACTTAGCACCCACAGCCATTAGGACCGAACCTGAAACGGGCAAGGACAGGCTGTGAACACACACGAAGCCAGCACCGGCTTCTGCGTGACAGGGTGCCTGGACAAAAGCGTTCTTGCTGGGAGTCTCTTTCTCACGGTGTTAGGGTTACCTTCAGCACCAAAAGAATGTTGATAAAGTTCTCAGTTCTCAGACAGCAGTGGATTCGTTGAATCATTCCACCACACCACCCTCCACTTTTATACCTTCTAAAAATTACCACGATTGATATATTTTAGTAGGTTGGAGGAGAGACTCTATAAGGCTTAAGGTTAAAAGGTAAACTACCTCCTCTCTCTTTCTGACAGTTCAACAGAAAACAAACACTCCTGGGAGCAGACCATCTAGAGCAGGGTTTGTTACACTCAGCACCATGACGTCTGGGGCTGCATAGTTCTTGGCCGTGGGGGCTGTCCTGTGTACTGTAGGAGCTTTAGCAGCATGCTTGGCCTCTACTCACTAAACGCCAGTAGCAAGGGCCCCTCTCCTTCACAAGTGGTGACAATCAGAAACATCTCAGACAATTGCCCTCCCCCTTCCATCGAGAACCACTGATTTAGGGGCTAAGAACAAGAGCTATGGAATCAGGCTGTCCGGGTTCACACCCCAGCTTGAACACTGCCTCGTTATGTGGCCTTGGACCAATGCTTTACCTCCCTGGGCATCAATTACCTCATTTGTAAAACGAGAATAAAAATACCTACTTCACAGGGTTGTTAGGAGGATTACATGAGACAATTCAGGAAAGTGCTTAGCACACAGCCTGGCACATGGTACTCAGAAAAATCCAGCTGTTCTCATCATCTCCCTCCTCCACAGAGATGTCCATTCTCCTCAGTCCATCAGAAGTCAATATGGAAAGAGGTAAAGATGGGAGGAGGTTGGGATCAAATAATTAATAACTGATTTATAACAATGTTTTCATTTTCTGCTCTAACATGGATGATAGATGCATCTGTTGTGGGAAAATACTTTTAGAAATAAAACTCCTGAGATCTGACCCAGGAGAGCATCCTAGCCTTGGGGAAAAGCTGTTCCACGTTTCCACATGTGTAAAAGTGCTTGCCACGTGCCTGAAAGCTAAAGCCATCTTTGTACCTTTGTTGCCACTAAGGAACAAACAGGTGGTTGGAACATTCATTTGTACCCACTGAAACCACAAACGTCTGCAGCAGAACAGGGCTAAGTCAAGCAAGTTCTCGAAAAAAAGGTGTCAGAAAATGAAACTTTGAAATTCAAAATGGAAAAGTGTAGGGTGATGGGAAGAAAAGTGCTCATTAGGTTTAAACCACTTTTAAAAGTTAGTTTAAATCTTCTCATCAAAATAAGAAGGGAAAAATCCTGCTGCTTCTACTTTATAATAGCTTTATCAACGAGCAGTTAATGAAACACAAAACCCCAAATTTGCCTGATTGTGTCATGGAGATTATGCTGCGATGGAGAAATCTGCCAAGCCCTTTCCAAGAGGAGCTGCACAACAGCCCAATCCACAAACCCTGCCAAGCCACAGAACGCTTCACAAGCTGGCGACGGAGGCCACAGAGCCAACTAGATCCAAGTGTGCTCTGGGACGGGGACCAGAAATGAGCTGGTTTCACCCGCACACAATTCAAGTGGGGATGACCTCAGAGTTCAGGTGGGCCAGCAGTTTCTAGGGGTTAACAGCGCACTCCTCTCCCGTGAAATGAAATTCTATGTGCAACTCCAATGCAAAAAACATACGGATGCACTACAATACTGCAAATACACTTATATATCCACACAAGTATTTATGGATGCTTACTAAGAATGAGCTTATGTATTCATACAACAAATATTTATCAAATGCTTACTAGAAAGCAGGCACTGTTCTAGTAGTACAGTCCCTGCCTTCATGAAGCTTACATTCTAGCAGATTTACCTCAAACTCAGCATCCCAAAAATTCTACCCAAACTGGGACAGGTCACAGCACCGAGGTTGAAAACCTCTGGTGCAGTCCAGTCCTCTCATGTTCCTGACGTGAAATCTGAAGCCGAGAAAGGTTAGGTAATTTGGCTCAAGGACAAATCTAGTGATGGGTATCCCTGAACCAGCAAAACACACACCGGTCCAAAGAACTCAGTGGTCTGGAAGAGGGACGAGCTAACAACTCAGCCTTTGGATCCCACACTTCTGTATCTATAGTGCCATAAACTAACAGACATTCAAAATAACTAGAAGTCGTCTTCGTAAATAGGCTTTAAACGATGCTCTGTTGACCCTAGTAAGCAGGCAGTAAGTGTCTAAGATCTAGTACATTTTGAAAGGTTTCCATCACAACAGTTGAAATGAAAGGCTGGCACATGATGAGTTACCCTTGGGGTGGCCACAAACTGAATGCTCCTGAACAGCTCGGGCTATGGCTGGTAAGTGCCCAACCCCTGATGTACTTCCTGCCCCACTTCTGAGAAGCAGATGCGGGAAAGTTCTTCCCCCAGCCCACACACAACCCCGTGCAGGGTCCACTACTGGCCACTCCCCAAGCCACCGAAAGGGGCCACTACTCAAAAGACCCTCTGACCCGCTGCCCCGTGACAATACACCTCTCTTTCAAGGTTACTCTGGCTCCAGTGGCTCCGTGCAAGAAACAAGCTGCGCACCATACCTCCCTGAGATTGTGCAGCAGTCAGCATCTCACAGAATCCTATTCTTTACGATTCACAAAATGCCCAATAAAACGTGACATTTCAAACCTGTTTTCACATAAATGAACAGATAAGTTGGAAACAGAAATTTCAGACAACAAGCCACGGCCGGCCATACCTGGACGGCACCAGCACTCAGGGGCAGTCGCAGGGAAGCGGGGAGCGAGGGGAAGGCCCAGACCCGCTTAGACTCCTGTTTGCCCCGGGGAAACGCAGGACTCTCGTCCCTCCCACAGGGTCACCCTCACCCCCTCGTTCTGGATGAGAGCCTGGTGGCCCCAGGAAACGCCCTGGTTTGACAGCTTCCTCCGCAGCTGAAGTAACAGCTGCGCTGTTCTCCTGCAGCCGAGAAAACAGCTTCTCACAGTTCCTCTCACCGCTCATCAGTCCCCCAAAACTTCAGGAAGCCTCCTCCCAGCTCTCGTCTCCCTTCCTCCTCGAGATTCATCTCCTTCCCCACTTCCAGCCCGAAGAGGAAGGGTCAATAGATGTGCACCTGTCCCCCAGAGCAAACAGCTGCAGTTAATGGCCCGTTTCAGCGTAAGCAGAAGCGCTGCCCAGACGCCCAGTGGATTTTCGCAGCATCCCCACCCTCTTCTGAACCAGGTCCCCAAGATGCAGTGGGAACACACCTGAGCAGCACTGCGAGGGTGCTTTTATTCAGACACAGGCTGCCTCGATGGCACCAACTGGCCGAGAATATTCCCACACATGCAACTCCCCCCACACCTGTCCCGCAACTTGAGAAACTTCCTGTCAGCGCTCTTAAAATACATTTGCAGGGCCAGCCCCGGTGGCCTAGTGGTTAAGTTTAGCGTGCTCCGCTTTGGCAGCCCGGGGTTCAGTTTCTGGGCACTGACCTACACTGCTCTGTTAGCGGCCATGCTGGGCTGGCGGCCCACATACTAAAAAAAAAAAAAAAAAAATAGAGGAAGATTGGCACAGTTGTTAGCTCAGGGTGAATCTTCCTCAACAACAACAACAAAAAATACATTTGCAAAAGGAACCAGGGCCAAACGCGGGAGCCCATGAATCATATTTTTTCTATCAAAAATATCAACAGAAATGAAACTAGTCTTATATAGGAGCCTACCACCCCAACCGTCACCTTCTTAGTTTTTATTCACCAGGGCATTGGCTATGCCACCAAGTGGGGCAGGGGAGTCTAAAGAGAGGTTTCCCCCGGGGTGTTCATTTTAATGAAACAAGTCACTTCCTCATGTTGGGAGTGGTGTTCCCTCTGCTGTTTAGAATCACCAAGATGGAGCTCTTCTATCAGCCCTAGACTGTGAAGAACTGCAGCCCAGCGTCAATCCAAACACAGAGGCCCACAGGGCTGGGCTGAGCACACGGTAATGAACTGTTGTTGGGCTGCAAGGTAAACAGGCCCCAGGGCAGGCAGTTCAGGAAACAGACCTTAATCACTGCTATTTGTTCAGTCAAACCTAGCATTTCTCGAGTCACAGGGTGGAGTGGATGCTGGACTGAGGAGAGGGCTCCTTTGAAGACTCTGGATCTGTCTCGCCCCTCCTTCCTTCCCCCAGGGAGAGCCAAAGCCTTGGTGTTCAGGGAGCCCCCCTCAGGGGGAGCCAGGTTGGGGTCAGGGCAGCGCTGACAGCCAGCACCTCTGAAGTGGGAGCCCCACCCTCCATGGAGAGAAAGGAATCAGACAGCACCAGGCCTGAGCTCCCAGACAGGAAGCGGAAGGCGCGGGGAAGGAAGAGCAATGAAGTGGGAAGTAACTAAAATATCTCTCTGGACCTAGCCTGGTGGTGGTGGTGGGAGGGGGAGACCTGGGGCAACTGAAGGGCTGGCTGGAGTGCTGGAGTGAGGAGAAGAGCAGGTTTGCTGGGAATGTGGGCGTGAACCCAGGACCACAGGGAAGAGCTGCAGTCTTGAGCAGCCTGCATGAGGGGCTGGAAAAAGGAAGTGGAGGAAGGCCCCAAACAGACCAGCCCAGAGCAGAACAAAAGCAGAGACCGCTTCACGGCAAAAGCGGAGCGCACTCGGCAAATTCTGAAGTGCCTCAGCTCAGCAGTGCTCCAAGTGTGGTTCCCGGGCCAGCAGCCTGGGCGTCACTGGGTACCTGTCAGGTCCCACCCCAGACCTATGGACTCTGAACTGGAACCCGCACTTTTAATAAGCTCCCCAAAGCCCCACCCAGCTCAGGAACTATGGTGAGAGCTTCCTTTCTGCAGTGGAAGGGCCTCCCGTTCTGAATATCAGAAACACACCCTACAGCAGGCACAGGTGTGGGTTCAAACAGTCCCGTGTCTAAAGACGACATCCCACACACCGGACAGCAGGTTTCCCTAGCTCTTCATTCACAAGGACTCTTTGCTGATGGCAAACAATTAAAGCCAGTTTCCAGTGAGATCAAACGCTACCTCAATATAACAAGATAAAGGAATTACACAGACTAGCAGGCAGTCCCTGAACAAGATGTCTTTAAATAATTTAACATGGAAAAATACTAATGGACACATCCTCGGGAAAAGATAAAGTAAATACACTAAAATACTAACTGGAGTTGTGATGTTAGATTATCTTTCTTTCCTTTATTGTGTCCCGGCTTTTCCAGGTTTTCAACATTAGCACAAATTTCATAATAAGTTTTTTAAATTAAGAGAAAATTACAAAAAAATTTAACAGATGAAGAATCAGAGAGGAGAAATCTGATCCAGAAAAAAATTAAAAGCCCTGTTAATTTGCTATCTTCCACATATGCTATGACTTGCTGTCTACCTTTATTTATAAAATTCATTTTACTGGGGTACATTAAACGTCAAGACAACAACCTTGGCAAAATCAAAGAATATCAGAGGAAAAGAAATATCATACAATGGGTTTCAAGGATAGCTTTAATAAAAATGGTCCCAACTTCAGCCTCTGGGGTAAGCCCTTCTAAGACACTGCTTTGACACAGCGCAACATTCTATTGTACCATCCTCCCTGAAGAAGACTCGCCCCGTGAAGCAACCACCAATGGGCCACTGTTCCGAGATGATTTCTCAGTGACAGAACAGAGCTTTGCTGATCCACCATCCCCAGCCATTACCTCTCGCACACACCAGCAAGTTCGATGTCTACCAGGAGACTTGAGAATTTACAATATGGTGGCCCCTAAACAGAGATTTACTCTGTAAGCACACAATTGGGCCACACAGGACCAGACCCAAAACTGTGAACTTGTCTGCTCCAACCCAGGAGTCCTCACACTCTGCTCCTTTCACTGCTCCTGCGCCACATGCTGAATCACGGGGTCCATCACCGAAATTAAATTACGGTCCTCTTCTCCTAATTTGCAGGAACAAAATATAATACAGTTATTTTCTTATTTTCCATATTTTTGATGTTCTGGCATTTGGGGCCTTGCTGACCCAGGAAGGACTGTCCCTCCCAGGGCTAGCTAATTCCTAGAGACAGCAAATTACTCCCCTGGGAGTAGCCTTTCATAGGCAAACCAATAATCCACATTCTGGACCACCTCTTCTACCTGGCTCTCACACTCCAGGAGATATTTCTCTGTTCTAACCACCCCAGGGCCGGGTACCAGAAAAATAGCGATCACCCCTACACCTGGGGCCTGCTGAAATTATTCAAACTAGCCAATCCTAAACCTGCCTATCCTGCCCTGCCTTGCCTTGCCCAAGGAAGCCACAATAAAGGTCAGCCTATACTTTCCTCTCACTCCTTCTGTCTCCTGACAGACGCTGGTGCTTCCCCAAGTGGCCCTGTATGGCATAGGTACCCCTTCTTCTTAGGAATTGTAACAAACTATCTTTTCAGTGGCAGTTGTCTCTTGATCTGTTGGCTTCACCATACCTGAATAATAATAAAACCTACATTTTAAAACACACCCAAAAAATGGCTTTATTTTCTCAATTTTCATTTTTTAATCTCATCAATTTTCCTTAAGCCTTTACGGCCTACTCCCAATTATGTATGGCAGGTGGCAAACAGAAAGAACACATCACAAATATTCATAGAAAACTAAGAATCAGAAGATGACATTTTGTTTGCTTTTTCATGAACAAATATGCTTGGGATTTTACAGAACATATATAATAATCATATTCTGCTATAGAATCGTATCTAGTTCCTGTCACTAACTTTCTCATGGTACTCAGTAAGGAACACCATGATTTACAAAGAGTATCCAATCCCGAGAACAAGTTTAAGAGTCAATGTTCTAATCAAAGTAAAACCCATTTTATAGACTAACTTTCTGGTACCCTTAGGCAGGCAGAATAACTCGAAATGAAGAATTTCAGAGCAGGAACAAAACGAAAAAAAGTAGCTGTCAAGAATAAATGGAAACCCGAAGATCCAACCTTTGATGACACAATTTCCCATCACCAACTAGAAAGCAAGAAGGGTTGACGGGCAGGCATTTTAGCCAATGTCCACTCTTCCCAAAGAAGGCAAGAGAGAAACTGGGGAAACGTAGAGAAAACAGGGTAAAACAGGCAGCAGAACCAAGTCACAGAAGCAACAGCTACTGACAAGTGTGTACAAATGTGCAACACATACTGTACTAGATTCATGATATACATTACAGAATTTAATGTTCATCATAACCCACGTTGTTATCATCAACCTCCTTTATACACGAGAAAGTGGATCAAATCACAAAGACACACCTAGTAAGTGGAAGAACTGGGATTTCTGCCTCAGGCGGGTGCCTAAGTCCATTTCTTTCCACTACTTTATAATGTTAAATTATCAGTACCACTTTGATCACGCCTTCACAAGCTTCCTCTCATTCTCTGCTGATAACCATCCTACCTGGTAGGCAGGGGGAGCAGCATTATTCCCAATACGGAGATGAATGTGAAGCCTGGATAAGTTACATTACTTTCAGAACTCATTCCCGGTCCTTCTAACAGGGAACCCTGCAAGGACGAGAGGAATGAGCAGCAAAACCTTGATGGTGCAAGCAAGAGAGGAGACTGTAACACCAGAAAAGACGAAGAGATGGGCCGGCCCTGTGGCTTGGTGGTTAAGTGCGCGCGCTGCGATGCTGGCGGCCCGGGTTCGGATCCCGGGTGCGCATCGAGGCACCACTTCTCTGTCC